ATCTCCCCTCTACCGACCTCCAAACACGACATAAACGACGCAAAAGTTCAAAATCGCGTCGAGACTGGGTATTTTCGCCCAATATGTCTCTCCTGCACAGCGATAGCGGCTTGCTTTCCGCTCTCGCTACTGACTCCTCCTCCAACATCGCGTCTTCCAGCTCCACGCCTCCCACCAGTATATCCGATGTTGCCAGCCAGGCCTCAGAGGGCCCCAAATTAGACGACATCCCCATCATTCTCGAGACCGAAACCATTATCGAGACCGAAATCGAGGCTCAAATCGAAATCCCTGCGGATGCCATTCCGACTCCCGACCCTGCACCCGAAACGCCCTCGGAGCCCCAACCCGCAGCGCGCCCACGTCGGTCTTGCTCCGGCAAAGGTGTATACAACCTTTCAAAACTCAGTGGCACGGCGAACCGCGGTCACCGCCGCTCCAAGGGTGATATTGTCGCTGCTGACCGGCGCCGGACCATTTCTGGCGAGACGCTTGTCAATGGCGGAGCCAATACGGACGAAGTGGCGCGTGTCGCTAGCAACCTTGTCCGCGACGGCATTGACGCGTTGGACCTCCAATGGTCTGTTGGGGCTCTCAAGACACCGCGTGCGAAGAAGATTATTACGGAAAAAGCAGCAACGTCGCGAATTACTCGTCACACGGCGCGTCTTATCGGAACCCCTGTCGAGACTCTTGCGACTAAAGTCTCCAATCTCGGCAAGCGGAGTCGCAAAACCTTCGAGAAGAACATGTCCAAGATTCCCCGCGAATTGCGCCGCCTGCAAGACACCAAGGAGTTCACCGGCATTGACGAGAAGCCTGTCATCAGAACGGTCTGGTCTAATGGAAAGCTCGTGATCTTGGACGAAAATGGCAACATCCCCGCGCCACCGGCCAAGAAGGCCAAATCTGAGCCGCTCGAGGCCAAGAAAGAGGAGGTAGAGGAGAAGGCCGAGAAGGCTGCCGACGCCCCCTCCAAGAAGACGAAGCGTCACAAGAAATATCTCGATCGTGGACTGTATGCCGGCCAATCGGCTCCGTCTGATTTGACCAAGGGGCTGTCGATACCTGAGCAGAGAAAGCTTGCGCAAACACCGGAGCTCAAGGACTACGGTCGCCCCAACAAGGCCCTTCCATTGCCAATGTTTAATGGACTGCGTCTGTTGCTCAGCGGTCGCGATTTCAAGCTCCCCTTTGATGTTTGCAATCCTTTGCCGCCTGGCCAGCCGAAGCCCGACGACTTCCGCAAGATGACAAAGAGTTAGATTCCCATCGCCGCTAGCTGACTCCCCTCACTGACCTTGATACAGATCGTTTCGTTGGCGATTCTCTGAGCCTGTGGAAGAAGACGCCGCACTTCATCGACCAGTCCAAGTGCGTCTGCAAACCCGAGGACGGATGCAGTGAAGACTGCCAGAACCGAATCATGCTGTACGAGTGCGACGACAAGAACTGCAACGTGGGCCGGGAAAACTGTACAAACCGCGCCTTTGCCGATCTTCAAGAGAGAAAGGCAGGTGGTGGCAAGTATCGCGTTGGTGTCGAGGTCATCAAGACGTCAGACCGTGGCTACGGCATTCGCGCGAACAGATGCTTCGAGCCGAACCAGATTGTCATGGAGTACACCGGCGAGATCATTACTGATGAGGAATGCAACAACCGCATGGAAACCAAGTACAAGGATAACAAGGTGGGTAAAGACCTAGTCAACTTTGACGCCCAGCAGAGCTAACCGCATCACCAGTGCTACTATCTCATGAGCTTCGATCAGAACATGATTATCGACGCCACGACCGGTAGCATCGCTCGCTTCGTCAACCACTCATGTGCTCCCAACTGCCGCATGATCAAGTGGATTGTCTCTGGCCAGCCCAGAATGGCGTTGTTCGCGGGGGATAAGCCCATTATGACGGGCGAGGAACTCACCTACGACTACAACTTCAGTCCGTTCAGCGACGAGAATGTTCAAAAGTGTCTCTGCGGCGCGCCGAACTGTCGAGGGATTTTAGGGCCTAAGCCTCAGGAAGTCAAACAGCCCAAGCCTCCCAAGTCGACTATCAAGGCTGTCGTCAAGAGCGCTGTCAAGGCGAGCAAGAGAAAGATCGAAACGATGATTGGCGACGAAGAAGACGGCGGCTCCGCAAAGAAGCGCAAGATCAAGGCCGCCAAGGGAGTGAGACGATCACTATCCTCGACCGGCCTGCTCACCAAGGCTGCGTCCAAGGGCGCGGCTACGGTTAAGAGACGTGTGTCGGCCATGGCAATTCTCGGCGGCACCAGCAAGACGAGCACCCCGGTGAAGTCGGCCAAGGGCACAAAGGCGACTCCGCCAAAGACAACAGCGAAGAAGGCAACCCCGAAGAAGTCGACTCCGAAGAAGTACACGGCTCCCAACCCCGCGCGCAAAGCTACCGCAGTCCGTAAGTCGGGCTCCGGAAAGATGCTCAAGACGTACGGAAAGGTCTCGCCCAAGAAGCTGAGCAGTCGTGCGCCGAGCATGACGATTGTGGCCGCGGGAGCAGAGAACGAGGAGGAACGTACCCCGGAGAAGAGCAAGGGCCAAAAGCTTCACAGAAGTCTTAGCAAGGCATCTCGCAACGCACTGGAAGAGCTCTCACGCGGTTCCACGATCCGTCTCGTAAGCCCTGAGCTTGTGAGCCCGGGGGCCACGATCACAGCCCGGCAAGATTAGGCGAACCCGTGGCGAAGTCTGAGCCACACTGCATGAGGCATTCACGATGCCTCATTCATCATATTGAATCTTGACGTCGACAAACGAGGGCGGCACGGATGAGTTTGGCGTTGGCAAGGTGTTTTCGGTCATTCAACAGGCGAAACGGAGGCAAGGCATTGTACATTACGGGAATCGAGGGAAGGACGACATGGTACAGGGGAGAGACGAATGAAGAAGTCACAAAAGGGGGGGGAGGCAATGAGAGACAAGGACATCGAAGCTTATGGGACGGACATCGGTCTCTGCCTAAGAGTTGGGCATTCTCGCTTCTCCCCTGCGATATCTGGCTGCATACGTTTTATCGGAACTGGGGGACTTTATTGCCAGTTGCAGAGAGGGTCTAATCATCTTTTTTTACTTTTTTCCTCCTCAGACGGTGGTCAGCAGCAGCAGTTTTAGGCATACTTTATTTTTCACTGGCATGTTACAACCTTCTTCCGTCCATTGCTTCTCGAGTACGCGAAGAGACGCTAAATTTGATGATGACGCGAGGTGTGACTTTCAACGACAACCAATGGATTTATTCTCCAGCATTTCGTGACTAGCGTGAGGTTGCATTCGCTGACCGAGCCTAGTCTGTCAGGCTGCACGCGCTGGTTGAGGTCAGAGGGGTGGTGAGAGAGCGAGTATTTTCATCCGGGTACGAAGGTGAGGGAGGGAATCGAAGAGGTGAGGCGGTGATTGGGTGATGTTTATGACCAATAGACACACCGAGGTGGACTCGTCGGTCAGGAGAGAAAGGTACGTACCGAGTAGCTTTGGAATGGAACGCTGCATGGACCTTTTATTTACTCCCGGGCGGCGGGACCCATTTCTCCCCTTGGCCTCCCGCCTACGACCTCTGGGCTCTGAGACTGTGACAAAGTCGTGGGCGGGCCTGTGGCTGAATAGTTCCAGAAGCCTGCCTAATTAGATAGGGATTGGGAAACTGCAACCTCGGGCGCTGTGGCGAAGCGACAAACAGCAAACGGCGCTGGGGAACAGCCGTTGGGATGAGGTTGGCCGCTGGCGTTCGCGGTACTCCGGTTTCGCGACGAGTTGGATGAGGTGACTGATTCTGTACTTTTCTTTTTGCTTTTTAGACGTCGCCAGTCACTTCGCTCTCGACTACCAAGGCGTCTTGGTCTAGGGTGGAGTCTTGTTTCTTGTCCCCGTCCTTTCTGCCTCGTCGGGCGGTATCGGGCGGCCCGCTACGGTTTCCTACACATGGCTGTTGTTTTCTCTGTGTTTCTTTGTTCTCTAAACTTGGCTTGCAAAAGGGTTGCACTCTTGGCAGACGGACGTGCTCATCGCAGGCAGGCGGCAGGACGAGGTGTGGCGGCAACACGCCGGGTCTTACTCCGACGACAGCTGAAGCGAAACACTTATGGTGTGGCTTGTTGTGGCTAACCCACCTACCTACCTTACCTTACCTATTGGTAGGTAGGTATGACGGGCAAGGGGGAGTAGAGCCCCATACCGTCTGCCCGCCCGTCTGTAAAGTGGGGCCAGAGGGACACCTGATTGACGGTGAAGGGAGGTCACGCTTTTGGCTCGCCGAACACTGACTTTACCCGGCCGGTGTGTTGCTTCCGTTTCTTTTGTCAATGTCATTCCTCTCCCGCCAATAAAACCCAGGGCAATCAGCTTCTACCGGTATCGCTCTTGCTTTGCGGTCATCGATTCGCCGTTTAGGAATGGGGAAAGAAGAGCCTCAATTAGGTATCTGGTCATACGCGCCACTTTGACCCAACCAAACAACGGCTGGATTGCTCCGCCACCCACTCTGCATTTTTTGAGCCGCATTCACTATCTTGGTACCCCTCCATGATCATTGCTTTCCACTCGTCGTGTGTTTCTCAACTACCTACCTACTTTCGGGAAAGGCAGACTTTGACTCCCTTTCCGCAACCGCGAACGGTGCTTCACGACCACTGAAACTGACACTCAGTTGCTCAATTCCGCACCTGCGTACTTACGAACATGCGCCGCTGCGCTACTCAGTACCTTTTAGCCCCTCCCCGGGAGCCTAGCTCCTGGATCAAGTGGGGCCGAGGACACTGTCATCCTTGAGCTTCACCTTCCCAATTCCCACGACATACCGCAGAGTTGCAACTTTTCTACACGAAAGCACGAGGCAACCAGCGCTAAAGGCACTAGCCACCCTCGATGTCCACTTTTTTGGTCGGATGCTTTGCTTTACATTATCAACTTGTTACAAAAATCCAAAAACTTGGTCCATTCGCTATGCCTGAGTTCTCGCCCTGAGGCTAGGTCTATCTAATTTCTATATCGTCTCGATCCTGTGGAGGGATCATTTCTTGTGTGTTGAGTGGTTGTTAATGAATGAGTGGCTGTGCCCGACCTGCGGTTGCCTTTCTTTCCTTTCCTGTCCTTCTCCGTCTCGCGTGTCTTTCGTCCTTGTGGTCCTTGTAGCGGCACCTTTTCCCCTTCCTGCTGTCTGAAGGTTTCTTGTCTGTGGTAGTCGCCATTACGACTGGTGGCGGTGAAGTTGAAGGACGTGTCGCCCAAGGCGCCAGTCATGGGTGTGGGACCTGGCCATGTCAGGCAGGTCGTGATATGGCGAGTGTCATCGAGAAAGGGCTCGTTGTCTACGAAATTCCTTGTTAGTCTCTGACAAACGTCTTCAAGGCCAGTGCCATGTTGAGAGACTCGGACTCACTTATCGACCAGCCGGAGTCCTGATCGTCGTTGTCGTGCACCCAGAGCACTTCTGGTGGTAGCAGTAGGGACAGTAGGCATCGATCTTGCAGTTGAGCGGGCCAGAGGAGCAGTTGTGCTGAGAGAGGAGAGTTGGTTAGCAAAAGGATGAGACCAAGTGATGAAGAACTGTGCGTCTCTGAACTTACGCAATACCAGACGGCGGTCTTAACGGTGGTGGGCTTAGGCATGATGGGCGTGCGTTTGGAAAGCTTAGCAAGTGTATGAGCTGATTCAACTGTTGTCTGTTGCGGTGCTAGTATAATGCGTCTGGTTCTGGTGTGTTTGTATGTTTGAGTTGATGATGCTTCTTCTCTTTCGTCTTCGAGATGAAGGGAATTCGATGGGCTTATAACCTGTTCTGTTGAGGCAACAGTTGCAAGTGTAATTGGAACAGTCCCATGGCTAGGAGTCGCGCGAGTGCGCATTTCCCAATTCCCTAGTTCGCAAACCTCGGTGAGTATCAAGCATCTTTGTGGTTTGCACGCTTTCTTCGCGTAGAAAAGTCTCAATAGAGCACTCTGGGGCTGGGTTTTTTTTTCGGCTTCGCCTCCCTCCCCGTCAACTCGGTATACCTACACTTTCATGAATTCCGCTTCCCACTCCAATCGTTTTCCAAGTTGGCCTTGGCCTCATCCCGAAGAATGCCTATCTCTGTTTGACTCTTCCAAGTTGCCTCGTTGTGTAAGAGTGGCCGTTTTCCGTTTCTCTTTCATCTTACAAGACATTACATTACGGTGTACTCCGCCACACCGCTTGGTCTCGTCGGTATGGGAAAACTTGACCGAAGCTCACTTGTCTACCAATGCTACGCAGACCGGAACAGCCCTGTCTTACAGACTGAGGACTCTCTCCCTTTATGGAATGTACTTTGGCTGTTGTCGAAGTCGGTCTGACAACGTTTCACAGTACCTGTCACCCAGTCACCGGATGAAGGCGCCTCGAGTCAAGATGTCATCGAGTGACCATTACTGGCTATAGAGGGCATGTTATCAGGCGGACCTTGACATAACATACTGGCAGCAACGCCCGGTTGACCGCAGAGTGCTGCGCAAAGAGTTTCTTTCAGGATGACGTCAAATTACGACACGAGGAGGCGGCCACTCCGGCGTACCATTACAAGTCACACTGCGACAAGCACGAAGAGTTTCTTTCTCCATAGTCCAATTTGCAGTTGCAATTCCATTGCTGGGCCGATCATGGCATATGATCACTTTAGTTCTCAGGCGTCTATATACATGGTATTGCATTGCCCCTGTCGTGCCCATAACAAACCCTATGCCAATTCCCAGGCTCTCCCATGCCTTACCACCGCTTCTTCTACAGCTAGAAGTAGTCCACGCAGGTGCTCGTTTCCGGGACCCATCGCATCCGCTCAGTGATCAACACGCTGGGTGACTGTCGTGACCGGACATCTGCGGCAGCGCTGGTGTCCGCAGTTGGGGTTGGTACAGAATGCATCAATGTGAGGATTGTATGGTCCCTGTTCACAGTAGTCCTGGAAGGAAAGGCGTGTTAGTCTGAGCGAATCATGGATGACCCCCAAGATGGGGCTGGGATGGAGCTGCCACTTACACAGTACCAGACCTGGTACTCGATGTACTGCTTCTTGCCGCCAGAACTGCTGCCGTGGGACTTTCCATGGGAGCCGCCGTGGCCCTTGGAGCTCGAGCTCTTGTGGTGGCCCATTGTCGATATTGACGTTTGGTGTGGTCGAGACAGGTAGATGATTGAAGGTCTGAAAGTGATAGAGCGGTGCTATTAGCAGTGCTTGATGAAGTCTATGAAAGCAAATGCTGAATCCGAGGGATAACTTCAAGATTCTCTCGAGTGAGAAACAAGCTTCTTTTATGTCCTTGGATTCCGTCCTCTTCTTCAGCAAACATTTGTAAATCCTCACATCCTCACATCCTCAATGCCAAAAGGTGCGCAGTTGCGCAGCTAGCTTCCTCTGTATTTCCTTGAATCAAGAGTCACCAATCGCAGATGAGCAAGTAGCAATCCTCGATTTTCCTCTTCCTCAACCATTTTCCTCTGAGGCTTGGCTTCTTGCGCCACTTCCCCGGTGACAATTACATGTTCTCCTCTTCCTCAATACCAATCGTTCCCAAGGTGGGCCTCGCGCGCCTCTTTTTTCCTCACGTATTTTCCTCATATCTCCTCCCGGTGTTTCAATCAACGTATTACAATGGGGGCCGATTTCTCGCAAAGTCAAAGTTGGCCTCATGGTCTCATAAAAAGAAAGAACCGTTCGGTAAATGGAGGTGTTGCCGCCGGTCTTTTTGCTTTAGACTCGGTGACCCGGGGGCGTACAGTTATTCTTGGCCTCCCCTGTGGCGTCACTGCCGCCTCCGACGTCGCCCTTCCCGGGTTCCCGGTTGAAAAGGCACCTTTCATCTCAAGGGTGGTTGGAACGTTGTGTATGTTGTGCATCATGGCCTGCATGGCGGACCACCACCACCACGACCTCTCTCCCGAGGCCGCGGGGTGTGAGACCCCAAGGTATGCGCGAGGCACAACGTTCGCCACGAGGCACCCTGGCGCCATACCCCAACGTAGTATCTTACCCCTACCCAGGGACTTTTTTGCATTTTCATAAGAGAGCCTAACTTGATCCTATCACCCCTTCCCCTCTAAAGTTGTCCGCGCACGAAGCGAGGCAGCAAGTACCGAGACACGGCCGCGGCATCTCACAGACACACACACCCCCCCATTCCCGCCTTTCAACCAGCGCCCTTTGCTTACTCGTAAAGCTCACAGCCCCGAAGCCTTGGTAGCCAATAAAGATGACGGGGCTTTTCATGGGTCTCCCTGAACCGCACTCTGGGCCGCATGCAGGTCCTTTCATGTGATTTCCAAGGTTCCGCGAATCCTACTGTGAGGTTGATGTGACGACGGGCCTCGACGAGGCCCCATTACATGTTCCCCCAAACTGAGGAACGAATCATGTCCTTTGAATTGAAAGCTTTCAGGGCATTGGCTACTTTACGAGACTGCCTCGAGGTGGGCCTCGAGGTGTTTGTGGTGGCTCATCGGACGGACCATGCTCGGATTGGTGTTCTAATAGGAGGTCATGAGGTATGCATACATCACAATGTCTAAAGGGAGATGGAAAGACCTTTTGGCATTGGAGCTCTATTGGCACGATGAATAGGTAGGCGGCATTTTGGCTTCCCTCCCGAGGGTGCCTTGAGGGAGTGGCTTTTCAAGTTCTCGGGCAAATGACGTGATATTACTCGTCACTGTTCTGGGAGAATTGCGCCAACGTATGATAAACAATTTCAACAGCTACATGGCTCGCTGAATGTAGGCAATCCAAGTGACATGTGACATATCCATGTGAACCTCGGAAGAGACCGGTCGTAGTTGGATAGAAACGTTGCCCGGTACTCAGAAGGGCACCGCGTTGGCTTACATCGGGCCTATAGTCTAGTCTCATCCACGGATGTGACATTTACAGTACCCGAGTTACGAATTACCATAAGCAAACAAGGCATCCAAGTTGCCCTCTCTTTTCATTACGTGAAGCTTAAAGGAATTGTTCTTGTCTGCGGCCTGTAACTGCAATGCAGTTTCTGTGGAGTCGGGCTTCGCCACACTTGATCAACTTACACTCCAATCGGGATTGTCCACTGCCTGTTTGGCATTTAATTCCATGAATTCACGGCATTGCATGGTCCAAAAGAGATTCCAGACTTTCAAAAGGCTGAGTAACGTTGCAAAAACGAAAACAGAGACGAGTCCATTGAGGAGGATATGTCGTGAGACTTTCTAGTCTAGTATCTAGCAAATGACTTGCGTCCTAGACCCCTCTAATACATAGAGAAACATCCAATGAAAAGACAGTAGTGAGCGAGGAAGCTGTACATCGTAACCAGTCGGTATCCTAAACAAAAGAGATAAAGCCCAATCAAACAGTCGATCCGGCCTAGGCCCCCTAGCAGGTCGCATGCCTGTATTGTGAGTCAGGTGAGAGCGACTAAAAAGGACACAGCAGTAGATCCAGCCAATGAAAGACAAAGGAAATCTAAGTAAGTGGGAGCGAATCGACAACTTCAGACTAGACACAACTCCGCGTGGGCGGAACGGTTTACACCACTCCGGGAAATATCCCTGCTGCTCCCCGCATCGTGCATTGTGCTGAACCACAGGGCGTCAAGGTAAAGTACTTTCGGATGATTGTTTGCGCCGCGGTAGGTTGTTGGAATTTGCCGTTGCTACTGCTGTGATGGCGCAGAGCAACAGTGAAGCGTCGTTGAAGGCGACTATCGTACTTTGACTGTCTGAACTGGACAGTTCGCACAACGTCTGTATCCGCAAGAAGGGCACCCATCGATTCTTGTGGTCATTCCGGAGTCACCGCACATGCACTTCTGATTGTCAGCTATTGCGTTGAGGTAAACGTGATGGCCCGGTTGACTTACGCAAGTCCAAGTTTGAACATAGGTCTTAGATCCCATTGTGATGAATTAAGTAGTCGGAGATCAGAGAGTAGATGTGGTAGAGTCTCAGATTGATCAGACAGAAGAGTAGTAGATTCTTAGATGAATAAATCTAGCAGATTATCAAGGGGGGCTGAAGGCGGTGATGATATGAATTGAGACGACACTTGTATCTCAGGAATCAATCCTTCTCTTTATACTTCCAAAACCTCAAAATCAAGTCCCATGTCCCCTCGAGCGTATCGTCCGCAGAGTCCCACTGACATTACAATCGACGGCTGTGTCGAGAAAGCCTGCACAAGGCAATGGAATTGTTGACCAACGAGGTTTCAAGCCACCGTACAATAGTCACTAGACATTTCTTCACGGGAAGCCTTAATCGGTGACAGGGCCGACGTGAATGAGTCGTCTTGGTGGAGACTCCTGTCGTCGAGCTGGTGCCCATCGTGGCTGTTCCAGAAGGCATCCTGCTTGCCTCGGCGAAAGTTGGCGCAGTGACGAGTTCACACTCCATAACGCGACGTCGAAGACCACAACTGCGCCTGCCTATCAAGACACCTCTAGGCGATTGGTATGTAACGTCTGCCCTAGTAGGTCCCGTACAGGTGTTTCGATATCCAGAGCGGTGATTCGAGGCGATGCTACGGTATGTCCCAGTGCAGGCAGATAGGAACACCTACGGTGGGTGATCTGGAACAAAATTAGCCCAGACATTATTCAAGGAAATATCCACCAGTGATGAGGGGAAGAGGAGAATATGACTCCTTGTGTCTTGCGCCGAAAGTACGGAGAAGGGCGGCAAAAGGACGCCATGGGCCAGCATACGACGTGGGAAGCCATCCAAATTCCCAAAACGAAGCGAGCTTGCGGCTCTCGGAGGAGGCTCTGCTGTTGCGGCTCTGCGGCTTTTGTCGGTACTTTTGAAGGAGTTAGTTGACTAGGATAGACTCGAGGACTGCCCTGAGCATGTGTGTTCCACAAGGGCAAGGGGAACGTTGCCCTGATGCCGCGATTCTCACCGATAATCAGGCAGCCACCTTCCCCTACCTGAAACTGAAGGCTGATTTCTAAAGGGAGCAGAGCCGCATCTGTATGCCCAAGATGGACCTTGGGCTTGCTCGACTCAATCCGGTTTCGATTTGGCCTCGAAGTTGGGATAGAGTCATGCCTTCGTTCCAGTTGTAGCTATACTTCATCGACCCAGGCATCGGATGCAGCCTTAACTCCCACAGGTGCGCGTGCGTGGTGCGTATGTGGTGTGTATGCCGCCAAGACGAGAATGACAACCGGTACTTGGGGTAATCAAGGGAGAATTGTTTGCCGGACCTCGGCCATTTCCGATGTGAGGTGAGATGCGAACCGCCGGTAGGCAGCAGTCTTGTGAAGAGGGAACAGAGAAGGCGTCGAATTGTGTTCTGGAGCGAGGTGGGAGTGAGGGGGAAATCGACATGCATGAATTGCGTAAGCATGCGGAGGTCTTGTCGATATGCAGGCTCCATGCTCGGTTCATTGAGATAACATATGTCACGTGATTCTCTTTGATATCTGCCGTTGTTCGAGGTCCTTTGGTAGAAGAACGAGTGTAAGCTGAAGAGAAACTTCGAATAGTTTCGGAAGCTAGGTTCTAGTAATTATCCGCCGGGAATGTACTTCTGAGTTGGTCATTGTTTGAAGTTGAGTTGGCGATAGGTGAAGGTGAAGTTGATAGAAACGAACCTATGAACAAAAGGTTGTACAGCAGCGAATTAGGACTACTGTTGTCAGATGAGAGGTAATAAAATAGAGATATAGAAAGACCTTGACCTATCAGCCGAGTGTACTACACTCAATAAAACTTACACAGCGTTGTCGTTGTATGGATAGCGTCGGCGGGAAACATGCAGCATCCTATCCGTGCCTTTCATTCGCCAGGATTACTCGTCTGTCCTCCGACTGACGCGATCAAATCGTGGGGAACGAACCATCTAAGATGTAGTCAAGTCGAATCGTGCCATTGAGGGTGTCCATATATTCATGAGTGCGGTGTAGGTGATCATCCATTCAGGTATTGTTGCAGCAGCTGTCAAGAAATTTATGCCAGCGACGACAGACAAAGAACAGAGGTGAAGAAAGGGGGTAGTTGAGCTTCTTATACTTATGGCTATGCGGCTCTTTGAAGCGGCTGGCCACACGAATGCGACGACATCTTGTGATCCTCAGGCTGATATCTATGGTCCTGGTGGCCAACGCCTAGGCAGAGCCACACCTTCATCAACTCTCCTGGACAGGTCATGCGTCTGTGAGGAGTTATTGACCCATGTGCCGTACACAGCCTGATGATCTGACCGACCATCACCTTGGAAGTCGGTGGAAGAGATGCACAGTCTTCAAGGCAGGCCTGAGTGTAGCAAGCTGTTAGACCAAAGTAGGAATAGGCGATATATGACAGACAGGCTGAGTGAATAAGAAGATGCCGAGTGCATGATCCTTGACATCTTGCTTTGAGGCTCAGTGCTGGATACCCATCAGGCACAAGTAACCCAGGCTGGTCCCCTCAGCGGCGTGATAGAGGGATGCTCCCAGTATAGTCGTAAGATCTTGATGGCCTGATCATCCAGGACTTAGATCACCTTAAGTTGGAAAGCAATTAGATAGTACTGGGCTGTTGAGTTGAAAGTGCAAGAGCCTGCTTGCTTTCGTGTTACTTTTGAATGAAAGTATGTTGTAATTGTTCTCTGAAAATGACTCTCATCGGTGTGTGTTATTTGCAGTTTGCCTGCCCCTCAGTAGGTGGTGGCCTTGAAGATGAGGTGGTCAACTGAGCTCACTTATCATCAAGGTCTAAGCGATGGAACCAAAAAGAGTTCACTTCCCCGGCGCTGAACTGGGGGCTACATCATTTGGTGCTCATACTGGGAAATTCGAACTCGAAATTGTAGCCTGTCGTCGAGTAGGCTGTGGCCATGATTGATTGTTGACCTTGAACCACTCCACCACCCAGCCAGTTTGACCTGACCCGTCGACCTAGACGGGCGCCTGCTGGCTGGTGACAGGACTGGACTTGGAGGGGTATATGAGGGCTTGCCCGCTGTTCCTGGGCTTATTCCATCCGGGTTGTGTAGGCTGATATATATTCTAGAAAGTCATCGTCACCGGGCGTAGCAGCCTAGTATGTCGGGCGTCGAGGGTGTAGCATTTTCCCCCACCCACGCGCGGCTGAAGATCCGATCGCTTGGACGCGAGTATCTGTAAACACTGCAAGGGGAAGGGAAGGCATGTAGTTATAAATTGAACCGCGTAAAGGGCCTCTTTTGGCCACCGAAGCTGAAACATATAGCTCTTGATGGTTACCAATGAACCGTCAGCTGATGAATGAAGTCAGCTGAAAACATCGACAAGCCACGTTACCGCGTAATGCCTCACGAATCAAATAGAAACCTGTCTCGTTTCTTGATACGCGATTTGAATCATTCATTGGAACTTGGCAGACAGACGTGTTGTCGTGGGATGAATCAGCATGCCCACTCATCTGGGGGATTCTTCATGTTCGTTGGACCGGAGTGAGACAAAATGAAGGCGCAGTACCTAGGTAGCGATCAGAGATTGGATATCGGACGAACCACGCATTGCGGATTGCCTGGTGAATTTTCCGCGGGAACTTCTCCTCGGGGAACGAAAGGGCAGTATCTCGCGGCTGAGAGTTGCGTGTCGTCAATTGGATGTTTTGGGATATGGCAGATCGGCATAATCCAGTAAAGAGAGAACATGGTGAAGGGGAAATCGCAAGTGGAGGGTGCTGACGCCACGCAGGTGCGGTTGTAGGGCTGAAAGCCACTGTTCTCGTTATTGATCCACTTCAGCACAAGGGAGCCATTGTTCTTCGAATGTTCTGCAGCGTAAGGTACCTATTGCTACCGCCCCTGTCTTCCCTGTACCCGCTATCTTTCAGCCCTGTGTAAATTGACAGTAGAAGTGAGGTACCTAGCAGTAAGGTACAACGAGATTGACACTGCATCCCATGCACGCACCTCCGAGCGCCCAGAACTTGTCCGTCGCCCCGGCACCAATTTCCGGAAAGCACGACAACCATCTCCAATCCTGCGCATTCGCGTATTGTCGCATTGTCTGCGCAGCTCTACAGCTCGCAGCTGGTCGCTCGCAACTTCTACGCTCTCTTTTGGTCGCCGACATATTTAATTTATCCTCTTTCTTGTTTCCATGTGCCGGAAATGATTGCGCCGTTGCAATGTCCCAAGCCACCAGCACGAAATGTGCCTCGCGATGGGTGACGCGCATCATCCCCCTCATCATCACTGGCACAAGCGGCTATGCTACCTACGTGGTCGTGGCCTATCTAGGCGGTGAGCTGTTCTCGTTCACATGGCTTCTTTTCTCTGCTAATCTTTCGCTGTAGTCGACTACCTGTATAGAACCAGGGGTGAGCATGGCGCCGCCATTTCGACAATCACCCTCTACCTCTTCTTCTACCTCCTTACGATCGCCGCCTATCTACGAACGTTCCTAAAAATCAAAGCGGACCCTGGCTTGGTACCGCTCGGCCCACAGGCACAACAAGCATCAAGAGAATCGAACAAAAAGAGCAGGCGCAGAAAGGAAGGAGACTTGGAAAGTCATCCTTACTTCACAGGCCCCGATCAGGACCCGGACAGCCCCGGCTTGGAAGGATTCTACAGCAAGGACGTATTTGCATGCGAGAGTGACGGACGGCCGAAATGGTGCTCAGAGTGCCGCAATTGGAAGCCCGATAGAGCTCATCATTCGAGCGAGGTTGAGCGATGCGTACGAAAGATGGATCACTATTGCCCCTGGGTCGGCGGCATGGTGTCGGAGACCTGTGAGTTGATACCGTTTATGGCACGGGTCCAATACTGACAGGAAACAGCATTTAAGTTCTTTGCCCAGTTCACTTTCTACTGCGCTTGTTATTGCGCAGTTGCGCTGGGCCAGACAGCCTACTGTCTAGCTTTACAGGTGCGCGATGGGACTGTGGACGGGAGAACGATCTCAGGCGTCGCCATCGCAGGTTTCTTTGGACTTTTTACATTCCTCATGACTGCGACTTCTTGGCGGTTCATTTTACTTAATATCACCAACATCGACGCCCTTCGAAAGTCCTGGGTCCATCAGCTCGCAATCAGGGTACCAAACGATACCCGGCCCGGAAATAGCTACGGCTTGATCACATATCCTCTACCAAAGTATCCACAAGGGATACCTACCTCCTCGGACGCCACCATCGATAGCGAAACTCCCCGCGATAGACTAGCTACGCGCACCTTTGCCATTGTCAGGACCGAACCAGACGAAAACCCGTGGGATCTCGGGTACGCTAGAAACTGGACGTCCATTATGGGGTATTCCTTGATCGACTGGCTTTTGCCCATACGCGGGTCACCATGCGCCAATCATGACAGCATGGAGAGTGACTACGAGATGGGCCCGTTTATACAAACGCTCAGAGAACGGCACGGTCTACCTGGCCCAAGTGGTTCATCTGGCGGAATGGAGATGCAGGAGCTGAGAGATAGCAATCGTTGACCGAGGCCTGAGCATATCGAGCGGCCTTGGCACATTTAGGCGTTAAAAGGGGTTGGGCAATTCAGGGGGGCGGCGTCTTATTTTGGTTTATATGCCAATATTCACACACCTACACACATACGTAACTAACGTTAAGCCTTCTTATGTAGTAATTAATTCAGCATATGGAAACTCGGGCAGATCAGCTCCACCTTACACGCGTTGCCGGGATGTCTTATACCACAGCCTTCTGATGTGCCCAACTGTACGGCCAGATTCAATAGGAATATCCGGACGACTGGCGCTCCAGCAGCCACCTTATAGACTTATTCTAGGCGTGTTCAACGTTCACGCGGACCGGCCGACCTAGGAGATCCACCGGGCCGAAGAAGCGTCCACCGAACGGCGGCGGAAAGGGTGGGGCCGATCTGCTGTCTTGTAGCTGCCCTATGTCCAAGGCATCATGGATTTGTTCGACAGCTATTCCTGTCACATACGACCATACCCATTGGAAAACTCGGGATCCCGTCCGCTCTCCCATAGATAAGCCAATGAGGGCCGGATTAGTAGTTGGGTCGGTGACGACCAGCGAATACCTGGTGTTGTATGTT